TTATTACGATAATTTTGTTAACTTATTCAATCACGTGAATATAAATTCAGTTATAAATAAAATTTTCCACTCTCGAGAGAAATAGCTTCTCGTAAAAGTTTCAAATTTCTTTCTTTCGTATTGTCAAAATATTAAAAGAAACAAGAGTCCAGTTGGTAATACAAATAAAGATAAATATACTTAATTACTATATTTTACGTCGTAAAAGATAGCTTAGACAGAGCTGAGAAAACAACGAGTCCGAGACGAAGTTATTCACCGAGACAAAATTGAAACGGAGAACAACATCTCGAATAAAACTGCAATAGTCATCATATGCTAATGAATTTTCTATACCTGCGAAGAAACGCATGCATAATCCGTATAATCGGTGAGAACAACGATACATTTCTACATCTACGATTCTTCCAATCATTACTTTCATTCATTACTTTTTTCAATTTCTCTGGAAGTTGATATCCTTGACACTATGTACACTTTTTGATACTCTAATTACATTCCATTCATGCTTTCAAAACGTTAATCGAAGATATGTAATTAGTAAGTGACTGATTTATTATGCAAAAGGAACCGTTTTCAATTACGAAACGACTCTATTTAATTTCAACGTATTGTTACATTGTTTCTGTCAAGCTACATTGCCTTCGGTCATTTATTTCCTCTAATCATCATTTCCGTAGAATTCCTCATATACATTTTAAAGTGCGTCGTTTCCAGTTTCATCTCCAAGGTTGTTACATGTAAGTGTTGATTGATCACGTAGTCTGTGCGATTCAGAGCATGTTACGTGTGCATTCGCCGCTCGAAAAACCAGTCTTCCGGTATAAATCGAGCCTCGCTTCCTGCGAGAGGATCGGTGGGTCCATTTCTCTTTCTTCGATCCGTCTTTCTTCGCTCGGTAAATTCGCGTTTCCTCTCTCGTTCCCATAAGCACATGGCGCTCTCGGGAGCTATCTCACACGTATACTGCCAATCACATAGACACGTGGCCGTTGTGAGTTCCACGAGGTACGTAACGACGCGGGGACACGTCGATACTATTCTCGTGTGCTATGCCAACCAGTCGGGTACCATTCGCTGGTTGAAGTGGCGAGAGCAGCAGTACGCAACGCGATTGGCTCAGACCATCTCGGCTGAGCCATAGTTCGAGGGACGTTGCAACGTGTCTGATTTTAAGTGTCCCTCTATCAAACACCAACTCACCATTATCGAAACGGTTTTGCGCTTGTATTTGGTGGCGCTTATATTATAGCTTGTGCTACTCACTTTTGTACTTTTGCAAATCTTGCCTGTTTATTTAAAAAAAAAATCTGTGGAATCATAAGATTATCCAATTTTTTTTTTTTTTTTTTTTTTCCATTTTCAATTGTTTTTTTTATATCTTTATTGCACTGTTGATCGACATTGAGAGATTCTTTGTACAACTCCCAAGTACGCGTCATTGATGGTTGAACGAAGAACTGTTGCATCAGATTTATATATATATGCATGTCGTCTGTTGTAAGAAATGTTGAATATCGAATTCCTTTTGTATATAAATTTGATTTTTATTTCGTCCCGTCGTTTTTCAAATCAACGTGTGAAAATATCGTTTTATCATAATTATAAGTTGATTTAAATTACAACAGATGGAAATATATCTGTGTGGACAGTTCCCAGAAATAACTTGCTAAACAAGTTGCGAAAGCGTCGAATTTTTTAACATGCTATTTGAATAAATTTGGTTTTGGCTATTGGCTGAGCAGCTTTGGCAACAATAAAAATTTCAAGCGCCCATATAATTTCCTATAAATTTATTGGAAATTATTATGTGCCTATTTATATCTATTTTCAAAGGCTTTTCAATATATTTGACATTATGTCACTACCAGTTATTATTTCGTAATAGCCCTATCTTTTTTTTATATATTTATTTATAACATAGTAATAAATGTTATCGCTATTCAATCTTTATTCTTCTAATATTACATTTACGCAATTTTATAATTTGAATCATTATACTTTCGACATAAATAATTTATTTTTTCTCCCCTCAACATTTATGTATGTCTCTATTTCGTATTTAGATCAGATTTATCATTCGTATTTGCTACGAATAAATTTCAATTCTATAACAGATCTTGAGAGAACAACAGATTTGAGAGAAAAAAAAAATCACCGATAGCTTTGATATATCTAAGTATTAATTTTGCGCAATTTTCGTCAAGACATGCGTGAGCTGTTGTATCAAATTAGATTATCAGTTCACGTACTTACGAGTTTCGCGTCTATATTAATTTTAAATTGTCCGTTGCAAATCGACAAAAAGACAAGATTCTTTAATGACTCTTTGTGAGCTATGATATAGGATTTGAAAAATTAGATACTTAAAAGGTTTTGACAGGGTCACAAGATAACAAAAAATTCACAATAGCCGATTTATAAAATAATTACCAAATTTACGAATTTTAATAAAATAACTGTAAAGTGTGACATTTGTAATACTATAAAATGTAGAAGAGTCAATATCGAGAGTGATCATGATCATGAGAAGTGATAGTGAGTGGCGTGATCTGTAAAATGCCAATTTGCTGCCAAGTTCAAATTCTTTGATATATATGTATGTTTATTGTTTTCTGTTCATAAATCATCTTTAATTGATAAAATGTTTGACAGATTTTGTACACATTATTTCTTGCAAAGCATGCACATTTTGCCAAAAAAAATGATGCTTTTTATCTAGATAAAATCATGCGTGTTGCTATTATTATCATCAATATGACAAAGTACCTATTTATATGTACTATTACGTGTAGATCAGTCTAATACCAACTATTTTCTTTTAGTAATATGTAAAGAAAAATTTAGATATAAAAATTTTTTTATACATATCACATATTAAATGCTCGTTAAATTTCTTATTTTTTTCATATTCCTTTATGATTGATATTGTAGTAGTAATTCGTAAAACTGAATGTTATTAATTTCAGTCATCAAAGCTGAATCATTGTGCAAAAATTCATTAAAAAAAAATTTGAATTGTATTTAGAGACTCAGTGATTCAAAATTTATAAAAAAATTTGAAAATTGTATTAATAGTGATTTCCATCGAACGTTGTAATTCGCTGCATTCGTAAAATGAAATGTGTACCTATTTTTACATAGTCTGTGATTATATTTGATTGCATTCTCAGTCGAGTTTTCTGTTGTTTTTCAAATTAATCGTTGATTTCGTTGTCATTTCCTATTATTTCGTCAGCGTTAGCGTAGTAAAGAATATTCGTGAATCAATCACATATGAATTACGAAACGAATTAGATTTTCATTTTTCGAGTCACGGCTATATAAATAAAGGTAAACGAGGTTATACTGCATGTAAAAAAGGTTTTATTCGATGAATTACGTAAATGCGATTGGTTTTATGTAATCACGCGATATATATTTGTATAGCACGTGATCTCCTCTTATCTTAATATTGTTAGGAAATTACTATGACCCTTACAATACATTCACGTTTTATCAAGGTATAATAAACGGATACTTCAATGTCACTAATGATATTGATTGGTATATTTGTTTTTGGATTGATCACCCTATTATTCATTCTATTATTCTGCATAAATTAATAAAATGAAATGTTAATTTATTTTGTCTTATTTTTTATGACCTGGAGCTTGTATATTGGTATATACAAATTGCCAATATGAAATTAAAAATTTATATTTACATAATATGCATAATCATAACTTAATAGAAACTTAATTGATCACAACATCAATCAATTAATAGTATGATTTACTTCACATATTGTTTGATGCTGCATTTAATAATATGCTTTTGCGTTCACGTACGTATTTAAGTTAATCTGGTGAATTATAGTAAATTACAAATTTCTTTCATATTTTTCGTCCGGGAGATGGATGAATTTCATATATCTGTATTTTGCATTATGTAATTTCCTCCGATTAATTTATGATAAAAAAAGGTTATCGACAGTGACAACTTAATCATTTTCTGACCTTACAACTTCAGACAAGATAACGAGCGTGATACGCTTGACCACGATAACTTTTAATTATATCTAATTACTGGTCATTACTTAAGCATGTGATCCGAAATGATATTGAGTAATAAAATTTTATTGTCGAATTTATAGAAATGAAAAATGTCTGCAATCTAATCATCGCATGCGTTGTTCATGTCAATTGTGTAATTCAGGAATGATCAGTACACACAGTATAACAGTAATATGAAATTAATTTTACTTTGCACGAGAGGAATGTACTATAATTTTTGTGGCGCTTTGATTTTGTTGATAAAAGTTACAGTATTTAACTTAAAAGTTAGTATTTTTCGTTCTAGTATATATACCTTACTTTATTCATTACTATATTTTCCTACATTTCATCAAACAGCTTTTCCTTCATAGAAGGTATGAATCAACATTATAATCTCCATCTTCTTCAATCTCATTTCGTGACACTCCATTCTCCACTATATCTCTGCCCTCTATTCAAGCAATTTCCCTTTCAAAGCAATCTCCTTCGCTACTGCCTAAACATCATTTCAATCATTTCATTCTCTATCTTAACCCTGTCATTATCTTTACTCTCATACTTCCTCCTTAAACGTTGTCATTCAACATTTCCACTCTCCTTCATAACCTTCATAACCCCCATCTGTTCCCCCCCCTCCCCCCTCTCTCTCTCCCCTCGCAAAGCAACTTTAGTTTTTCTTCTGCACTTTCATCTGCACTCAAACCAAAGGAAAGTTAATGTCAAGATACAACGTACGTTCTAGTCGATTCTGCGAACCGAGCCAACGGATCAACAAACTCTTCAGGAAAGTTCCGCGTCTTCAATGGAGGAGTGAAAGGGGTGGTGTTGGGACTCGGGACGAACGAGCCTGCGTCCCAAGGAGGGCGCCCTTCTCGCGACCCAGTCGATAGACGACCTCGTTCCAGCCACCGCGAGATAATCTTTTTTTCCTTTTCTATCCTGCTACCATATTTTTCCATTGACTCGATCAGCGACCAACCACCTCTTCCGCTGAACTCGCTGGCAGAGGGTGTTACAGGTGTTCGTGAACAGCAACTCTCTGGCAAACTGTTGTCCCTGAATATATAGACGACACACGGGTCGACGACTGTGAGATGCAGCCTTGATAACAGTGAAAGTGACGATCGAAATCTTAATCGAAGTTGAAGCACGACTACGAAACGTTGGAACGTCGGGAAAACACGATGTCGAAACAGAGGCGTTGTTGAGTGAAGAAAGACGTGGCAGTTTGAAATTACTAATTAGTTGATGGCGGTAAATTGTGAACGATGAGAGTCGCAGATGGTGGTGGATTGAACTTATAAGGTTGGTCGGCGACGCTGGTTTTCGCGGCTTGTGTTATCGATTTCGTTGGGATGTCCTGTTTTCATAGGACGAAGGGTTGCTCGGTTTCGTAACGAGGAAACGTTTGCGCGACGTTTGCACGAAACTTCATTTGCGTGATACGAAAATGTAGGTGACACATTTATGAACTGATGAACGGGTGCTGTTGTTTTTTTTTTTTTTTTTTTTTTTTTTTTTTCTACGGAGAGAGGCTTGGTCCTTTTTCTTTTCTTCCTTTAGTTTTCTTTCTCTCTTTTTGTGTTTTCCTTGATGTTGTTTGCGACACGCTTTTTTTTGTAAAAATATAGCAAACAATTTCTGTATTTGATTGAAATAAAATATATACGTGACATGGATTTCGTAGAAAGAGGATTAATTGAAAGCAATTTTAAGAAAAACTCGTCGTAATCATCCACATTGCATGAATTACAGGCATTTCTTAATTTTAATTTTGCCAAAAATATATCTACGTTGAATCCACGTGCGAGTTCTTTTTTTCACAATGTTTGTCGTATGTTTCCTATTTCAGTGTTTTTTCTCGCGATATGATTATATGTTATTTGCGAATTATAAGATTTCAATAAAAAGTAAATTTGATTTTAATCCACTCGATTACAGTAACACAACATTTGTATGGTGAACATTATACCAACATAAATATTATACATTTTTCAAAGATTCTTTCTCAAGTGTTGAAACAAAACTATTTTGTTGCCTCGGTACATAAAATTATCAATTCACTGAATTTTGTGTGTAATATAATATAATATAAAATCAGAAATTTAAAGAATTTTTAGAAGAATTGCATGAGTTTCTACACGAAATATATTGGTTGTGGAAAATCGTAGGAATGTAAGAAATATTGTTCACAAACAAGTTTTTATCATTTGAAAGCTTTCGTCTTGTAATATTTATTTCCATAAAATTGTTCTCTTGCACGTCAATTTACAGACTGTAGACATCCTTGGTCATCGTTCAAACATAATGACCTTGTTTCCAGAATTTTTTATTCGAACACAACGCTTATACTATATAAAAAATTCTCGAGGATGTTCAATGAGGATGTTCTTCACCGTCATCACATTTCCTTTCTCTTATTTCGTCTCGTTCATTTGTTTTTCAGTTAAAAGATCTTCAGTTTCAACAAACACCATTAATTTGTTTGACCTCTTTTTTTTTTTTTTTTTTCTTTTAAGAAATGTCGTAAAGTTAATTCATGGAATGCGTTCAATCCTTGGCATCTACTTGGGCAATTCGTGAAAAGAAACATCGTGAATTGATTTATATTTTGCAAATTCTGATTAATTAAAATTGACGAGGAAAGTAGTTGGAAATTACAAAGTTTACATTTTGTTTGCATATCGTTGTTATTCTGCGCGACAGTGTTGAAAGTTTGACTTTATTTCTCAGTCTTTTGGAGATCTCCATTTTGGAGTTTCATAATCAGGGTAGCAATTATCGATCGTTTTTAACTAGGCTGGCATTCGTTTGTTTTCTGAAACATCGTTCACTCATACCTATTACTATACGTTTACTCAACGTAATAGGTATGAATGCAAAAACAAAGTGATAAAATGTTATTCATGCAGAATTTATTAATTCGTTAATTATAAAAATTAGAGATTGCATTAATCTTTGATTACCAGTGTGGAAATACGTAAGAAGAATTAGAACATTATATAATAAATAAATATCTTTATTATCAATAATATTAATAGCAAAATTGACGAAACGATTCTTCAACTTACTTTCACGAAAAAGAATACGCTTGCCTTTCAAAAATTTCGAATTCTATCAAAAGCAATAATGAATTTTCACTATCATGCATTGCATAAATTTTCAGCTCAAAAATCAGTATATCTGCTGTGTTTTACGTTAAAAAAGTTACGATAGAAATATGTTTTTTATTATCATAACTGTACACTTATTCATGTCTATACTCCTATCAATATATTTCTTTTAATGCTCTGCAATTTTAATCTTGATACACTTCCAGTAATCTGCGAATAAAATATTGTTCTCAGAAATCAGGCTGTGTTTAAAAGAATTTTTTTCTAGTACGAATATTGTAAATATACATTTTAACGCGTAAATGTTTAGATAATAGTATACTTAAATTCTGCGCTAAGCATTCATTTTTCACGAGTATTATCGTGTCAGCGTTTAATAGTTTTTCCAGTGTAAAAATTCCTACCTACTTTATATTCACTGTGACGTGTTTTCCTCGATCTAACGATGTGTTTTTTATCTGCCCAGAAACAAGAGAGAAATGGCGCCAAATATAACGAATAGCCCGACAGGCGTACTTTTCGAAGGAGAGACTTTGGAGGAGATCCCAGGTCTGAGCGAGCCTAAGAAGAAGATCAAGAAACAAATTGTCTGGCAGAATGTGATTATTTTCTTGTATCTTCATCTAGGCGCAGTTTATGGATTGTATCTTGTCTTAACATCGGCAAAAATCGTTACGACACTCTTCGGTGAGTAAATGCCTGGAATTATTTCCCGTTTATGAAGGTCGCATTGTCAAGGTTTCGTCGAACCAGCAGCGGCAGTCTTTTTTAATCTGTCACGAGTCAGTGACCGAACCGTTTATCTCACGAGTAATTTTCCTATTATTATCCAAATTCATTCCATAGTTCAAACTCTGCGCACGCTTGAAGCGTGGGGCTCACGTGAAATTTAGAGGGAGAACGTAATAACTATATGTGTAATTCGTGTGACGCAACTTGACACAACGAAAGGCCACAGAGCACTTGTAAAACTCGATTAGATAGATTAAGTAATCAAAGTGCCGAGAGTAAGAAAGATTATACAGCTTTTATTTATGTATTTTATGAAAAACCGAAAAGTCGAAATGCATCACCAATTGTTCGTTTTACCACAAATCTGAATAATTCTAGCGTTAATTAATTTTCAACTTTTTAAAGAAATTCTTTTTAATTATCTGTGAGATTTTAATTATATGAATTTTCAACTCCGTTTTTAAAAAAATTCTTTTTAATTATCTGCGAGATTTTAATTATATGAATCCAATCAGATAATACTGTTTTATTTACTGTTTCATTTATGATAGCATTAAGCTAGACGGTCTACGTGATAAAATAATCGAATGTGATTTATGGAGCTGTACGTGCTTCACGTAGTACGAATTACTTAGTCAGCGTTAATTATCTGAAAGAAAGCGACAGAAGAGGGGAGAGTATCAGCCAAGTATTAACGAAATGTTGAATTTTGATCTATATTTGTACATTTGACGATGGAAAATTTCGAAAAAAATTCTTTCCACATTACTGTCCAACAATTACTTTGGTCGTGATATAATTGAGATTAAATACAATGATCAATAAATTGCAAAGTCGCAATCGACATTTCGTTTAATATTTATTTATTATTATTTTTATATATATATATATATTGCCTAGGCGGCTTAGGATGGCTTCCGGTTTACAATGGGTCTGCATCTTTCTTATTTTCTACTTCTTAGCTAATCCTTAGTGTCTACGTCTTATGGATCTAATTTGCCTTTTGCTCATCTTCTTGACATTTTGTTTAATATTTCGCAGAGAAGTTAACGAATTAAATAAAATTTCATCGCTGTATATAAAAGAATTCGCATTTCTATCGGAAACGTTTTGAACCTTTTCTCGTTTCACGTATTAACGGGGTATCGAAAATTCGGAGATCGTAGCAGGTGTGATCTGTCGAAAATTACGTAAATGAAGATTCGGTAATACGATTGATTAATAATTTGTTACCGTTTGTTCTTGTTTTACAGCACTATTTTTGTACCTAGTCTCTGGTTTGGGAGTTACAGCTGGTGCTCACAGATTATGGTCACACAGATCATACAAAGCGAAATGGCCACTCCAGGTATTACTGACAATATTCAACACCATAGCGTTCCAAGTAAGTAGTCAATTAAGTAATTAGTAAACGGCAAATTGTATAATTTTGCTACATGATCAAACTGGAGAGAAATATTTTCCAAATACGAATCGCCTTCCGTCTGATGGATAAAATTATGAAATTTGAAATTATGACTTCATTTCTAACGAGAACAATTCTGGTAGATATGAATGATTTTAAGTGCACTTGCAGAACAGCAAGTGTTTTTAATTTTCTCCGCTTTTTTTCAATTGAAATCATAAAAATTAGCGTTGTTCAACTCTTGGTCCATTTATAAGCGATCTCGTTTTCGTTTTGTATATTTTTTCCTTCTTCCTTTCTTAATACATCTTTTTTTATTTATCGTTATAGGATGCGGCTATCGATTGGGCCAGAGATCACAGACTTCACCACAAATATAGCGAGACGGACGCGGATCCCCATAATGCAAAGAATGGATTTTTCTTCGCGCACGTGGGCTGGTTGTTGTGCAGGAAACACCCAGACATCGCTAAGAAAGGAAAAGGACTCGATCTCAGTGACCTGAGAAACAATCCTATATTGATGTTCCAGAAAAAGTGAGTGTTCTTCATCGATTCCCTTTCGCGATTCAATAAAGCGGAGAGAAAAAGTTGTATATTAAATAACCAGATTTTTCTAGATCAATCGAAAATCAATAGATGTTTTTTAATTAAAAAGAAATGATCTTAGATCGAAATATATGTATTTTATACAGGCGATATGAATATAAACAAAAGTAATAAATAAATACAAAGGATAGAACTACATTTGTTGAATATTAATTTGAATTATGTTAATTTTTGCTTGTTGCTTCTCTCGGCTAGTTTACATAAATGAAGGTCTGCTGTAAATAAAAAAAGATAAGAATATTACAAATGAGTTTTTTAATGTGTCTCATATTGTGTTTTGCAGATATTACATGTACCTGATGCCTCTATTTTGTTTTATTCTACCGACTGTCATTCCTGTCTACTATTGGAACGAGACTTGGGTGAACGCTTACTTCGTTCCCACTATTTTGCGTTACGTCTTTACGCTGAATATGACTTGGTTGGTCAACTCTGCGGCTCACTTGTTTGGAAACAAACCATACGATAGGTTAGTGTTATTGTCCATGGTTTTGGCTCAATTTACATAATAGGCTTACATAAAAGATACAAAGACACAAAGAAAGAAAAAGAAAAAGGAACAATCGGTAAATAGCTGATTGAACAATTAATTGATTTCTTCAGATATATCAATCCTGCAGAAAATAAAATGGTGGCTCTGACGGCGTTCGGTGAAGGTTGGCACAACTATCATCACGTGTTCCCATGGGACTACAAAACGGCAGAGTTGGGCAACTACAGATTCAATATTACAACGGCTTTCATTGACCTCTGTGCAAAACTCGGTCTCGCGTACGATCTGAAGATAGTACCCAAGGATGTAGTACACAAACGAGTGCAGAGAACTGGTGACGGAAGCCATAACAGCGTAAACCTGTGGGGTTGGGGTGATAAAGATCAGACGAAACAAGATTTAGATGTAACAATGGTGTTGAAGAAAGAATAAGAATATTAAAGGGCACAGTTATTGCGTAAGACTGATCGTTCCCTTTCTCTAAGAGAAGCTGACGAACGAGAAGTTTAATTTATTATACAGTTCGTTATAAAAGGGGTAATACAGAAGTTGTTCATAATCAATCGAAACATTTTGGGATATGATACTTTTGGTTATTCGATTGTCAGTATCCAACTTTTATTGAAGTCAGTTCACAATGAAGGAACAGTTTTTTTTTGCAAGGTTTGCCGCAAAAAGATTTGTTCTCGCGGAACGAAGAATTCGCGTTGACATGCAATGGATATTTTATTTTAGTCTTATGTTATTTTCAAGCTTAGCTTAGAATGGTAATTAACATATTTTGAATGTTGATTTCTACAAAATAGGAATTTTCAATTGACGTTGATGTAAACTATCGTGCGGATTATAATAAGACCGATATTATACAAAAGATTATGGATTTAGTGGTCCTGGGTAAAAATTGTTATTTCAGTTAAACACTTTAATAATATTCTAAATCCGAACGAATAGATTTACGTGATATCTTCGGAAATTTCAAGCTCCAAAGAATATTAATGCGTACTAACTGAGTAAACTATTCGATAGAATCTATAGATTTTCAATTAATTTCTTAATTTCGAATTGTTTCTATTACTCTTTCTATGAATCAGTGAGTTAGTTCTGTTTTTGAAAAAATTCTTTTTTTTTTTATTTTTTATTTTTTATTTCCAATAGATCGAATAATCAACATATCGATATTGTGAAGCATGAGAAAGATCTGATTAAGAATCTAACGTAAGTTACATGCATATTGTGTAGTGATCATGCAATTTTATAAAACCATCTTGAAACTTGTGAAACTTGTGAGGACTTTACGAGGAAAATTTTTTGGTTACATTTGTTCTTGATTATTTTAATCATTTCTAGCATTCTATAATTGGTTTTTTTTTTTACGCATATTTCTTCTTCTGCGTTTTCCTTCTGTAATTCTTCCTTAACGCTTTCAAATATTATATTTACCTTATTATTATAAAACACACTCGTTTCCATTTTCTCTTTCCTTTCTTCCTTTCTATTTTCGTTCGAGCATGTAGTCACAATATAACAAGCTTTCGAAATTAAAAAACTATGAATTATTGGAATGCTTTGTTTTCATTTCCTCTGATTTTACATTCGTTTTGAATCGAATCTATCTTTAGAAAGCAAAAGAGCATGAAACATGTAACTTCAGTTGATCTTTCTGTAAATCTTTTTTCTTCTTCCATGTATTTTGCGATTTTTCTTTATGCGTATTGTAGAAAGAGTAGTATTTTTCTCGTTTTTTTGGAAATTGGTATTATACTTTGTGATATGTAGTATTGTAATGCATTGTTTTAATCGAGTTAAATATAAAGAATGGGAAAGAGAGAAAGAGAAAGAGGGGGAGAGTGAGAGAGAGAGAGAGGGGGGGGGGAGGAATCACAGTAACAAATGTGTAAGAAATTTAACAAATGAACCTCGAAGTTAGGAAGTGTTATTTCACGTTTTGTAAGGTTAAAGACTAAGAAGACTTTGTGAGGAAGACTTGTAAGAAACATTTAAAGAGAAGCATTCAAATTGCTGATTTATTTTCTGTCAAGAAAGTGCACGAAGAATACAAAATAATATCTGTAACTCGATGATATTCATTGTTGTAGCAAAAAATATAACAGGTATATTATATAATTTAATTGTAAAAAGAAGTCGGTCGATATAAGGATTTGCGTGACTTTTCGTTAAAACGAGCATGTCGTGTGTAGCTATTTACACGTATATATTTGTACGATTATTTCCAAACAAACTGCAAAAAGATATTGTAAAAAAAAAAAAAAAAATTCTACGCTTAATGTGACTGACTATCAGTTCCCTATCACGGTTTCGCCATTGTGGGCACTCGTGATTATTCGTCGCTTTCTACAAAACGTTCCATCCCCGATAATGTTATCTTTCTCCACTTTAGAAGATCAAGGAGTTAGCTAATAAATTCCCAGACAAGGATTCTCTTTATTGTCCTTAAAATTCGGATTTATTATTAAATTATGAAGAAAAGAAGCAACAATAGGCAGCAGAAACATTTTCTTACGTTCATCAAACTTTTCGGCGAATCCTTTTGTCAAGAATGTGCTTTGGGCAAAACGAAATTCTTTCTCAATCTCGTCGATCTCTCATACTTCTGTAGAACATTCGCTACATGTATGAAAATTTGTCCTCACTGTATCCACGTGTCTCTGAACAAAACCTTCGTTTCCGTGTTTACTTCTTCATTCCCTTCATCCCTCTGGTTTTCCAAAAGTGCACTTGCGAGTAAAAGCTGTATGGTAGCTGTGTGGTTTTACGTTACGATGATGAAACGAGGGTGTATCTACATATACATGTGCAAACTTAATTGCCAACTCAGAAAAGGGTGAGCAATTGAGTATGAAAGAAGGCAAGAAGTGTGATGCTTCACCAGCATCGTTCGATATTTCAAATGGTAATATTTTCCATGAGATTGTCCTCGTTGTTTCTACGTGTCTGTGTTTTAGTTTCTATGTGCGCAAAGAGGTAACTCGCTAACTACGAATACGTTAAACTCTTTCCTGAGACGTACAAATATGTGCAGACGTACCACACTGAGCAAAGAACTATCCAAAATTACCTCCATAAGATTTAAACTTAACGTTGAATAAATATGTGTGATGTTATCAGATTTTAAGAGACAAATATATGTTGTTTTGTTACCAGACCAGGAAGAAGCGATTGATTTCCAATTCCAATTCGTAGCATGCCGTTAACTCTGTTCTCTTTTTTACTTTTTCTTAACGTTTCTTTCTTTCAAGTACTAATGCAAGTGGAAGTATCATTTCGACAAGGTGAAGCGTGCATCGTTTAGTTTCTCATTTTTTTGACGAGCGTATGATCGTTTCGTTTCTCATCTTTTCCCTTGTCTCCCTTCGCGCGACTAAATTTCAGACACCGAATTCATTGTAATCTCATTTACATTGCTAATTTTGTTAAATCGTAATTTGGTGATCTAAGACTGTTGTCATTGTTTCACATTATTCTTTTGACACGAAATCGGTCTACTGATAGCAAATAATATATGAACGAATGAATGAATCTTTATTTCAGCCTTTCGGCCTAGAAATAGACCTCAGTGCCTTACATTATTCTTTATATTTTGTTTTCCGTTTTAATCCCTTACATCTAGTATTAGCAAATGATATATGAAACTGAGTCTAATTTCTAAAATAAACAAAATAGCAAATAATTGGAACAGTTGAACGAGATTTCAGTTTATGAAGGTTCATGCGGTTTCATTTGAACAAATCTTTCATTGTTATAAAAATTATTATTAGTCAGTGTACAACGGAGGTTTCACGTTCATTGATGAGAGTAATTATTTATCGATACATGACATTGACGAAGAACGACGACGAAAGCGCGTGATCGCGTGTTGCGAAGGAAAAATGAAATCGATCATTCGAAGTTTGAACAAGTCCGACAGACTCGTATTTCCAAACTCAATGTTTAACCATCAGCTTCACTTCCTTCGCTTTGTATATAGACTTTTCTTTCAGTTTATCGAGACCATTCGCAAACGTCATTTTCTTCTTGCTCACATCGTGGAGCATAGTTCTGATATCTTCGGTGTCGGTTGTTTGCGGCAAATCAATGAAACCGAGGTCGTGCCACACTTTGATGAAAAACGTGGTGAAACCGGACGCGTACGAGCCGAATTCACCGCATTTCCAGTCCCACGGGATTATGTAATGATACACCGGCCAAAATGACTTGGTCAGAAAGAACATGCTGATGCTGTATGGTGGCATTCTGAAATCGTGAGTAAATCAAGTGAGCTTTCGATTTCGACGATAGGGCCGTGCGAAAATTTATGATATAAGTTTTGTCTTGTCTCAATTAGCGACAAACGTCTTTTTAACTTTGATACAAAAGCTTGCCAATTTGTTAGATCATTCGTCGTTGAATACTGTTTTCGAAATGGTAGAAAAAGAATTTTTTTCTCTCGTCGATTGATGGCTTTGTCGAACAGTGGAGATGAATACGAAACAACTGATTGATTTTATTGCAGCTGAATGACGCAACGTTGCAACGTTAAATTACATCGTATTTTACGAATTCAACGAATTTTTAAACAAATTAGAGAATCCTTTGTAGCAATTTTAATTTTTAACGCGTTATAACACTTTATTCGACGTTAATTCCGTCATAATTAATCATGACGGTGCCGTGGCTCTTTGGCATTTTGAAGAACAGTTTGTACAATAAGTTGAAGGTATCTGAAATTTGTATTAACTTTTTCCCTTCCATGCTCCAGACCAAACGCGCGCTGTTCACCAGCCAGGACACGTTCACCGTAATGGCGAATCGTAGCACTCCTGTGATCAGTATTGTCTCGGTCATCGACTCGTCCCAGTATTCCAACGGGACGTTCAGTGACAGTATCAGTCCAAATATTAAGAACAACGGCCAGTAGAATCTATGAACGTAAAGGAAAACAACAGGACTCACGTCAAGGTACGTGAAAAATTTGGAAAGAGGATAAGATATCGAGCGGCGTTTCGAAGAAATATTTAGAGAAAAGTAGAAAAAGATTTCTAGAGGAGAGAAATTTCGACGAACAGGGAGGTAATTTTTGATAAAATAAAAGATTATACTTCTTTTGCAACCAGACGTAGCCATCTTGATCCAAATCACGTGTGTCGATCTCACGTTTCATCTCGTCATAGTCTATACTCGGTGACAATGCATTACCTACGTAATGACTGTAAAAAAATCCTTTCTTGTGATTGTAGGGGTCCTTATCGGTCCCGTAATATTTATGATGAAGTCTGTGATATAATACCCAATCGTATATTGAGCCCTGTAAGTGTTATATAATTTACTAGAAACAGGACGCGACGGAAAGTCAAGTCATAAATTTTTTCAAAGACTCAGGAAACACACGTGATTATTTTTCTCAGCCAATACTGCGATTTTGATATACTTACAACTCCTGCCAGGGTGTGACACAGCATGAGGGAAAGCCTGAGAAATCCTGTGGCTTCGTACGTTCTGTGTGCCCACAATCTATGAGCTCCTGCTGTCACTCCGAGGCAACCAAGAATCGTTATAAACAACGCTGGAAAATCGATGGAGTAACCAATATGAAAAATAAAATACGCTGGAATTTTTAGTTGTCGTTGTGAAAAGAATTAAAAGAATAAAGTTCCGGTTGTCACAAATTTCATTGCGTGAAACTGAAGGATAATAAAATATATTCTTACTGTAGATCACGGTCAACCATTTAGCAGAGGTGAACAAAAACCAGATAGCGTACACTCCAAGAACGTGTATGTAAATGTACCATAAAATAGCCGCCCATTTCATTTCCCGTTTCTTCGCTGGTTTCGTCTCGTCCACCATCCTGCTGTTTCGAAACAAAGTTTCAACAAACGTTGAAAAGTTGAAGATTACACTCGTTGCTTGGCGAAACACAGCCGACACGCACAACTCTACATGTGTTTGAAATATTTTATATTTCCAAAAATTCAACAAAACGGAAGAAAAAAAAATAAGATGACGAATCGGAACATAGAGAAACTTAAGGACAGATCTTGAGGAATGTTTATGATTTAAAAATTCACAAAAAAGAAAAAAAAATTCGAAGAAGCGAATATACTGCGTATGAGAAAGTGAAAAGTGAATTCGTACGTGTCCCGTTACATCAAAATTTACCTCTTTCTGTAGCACGAAACGCGTTTCTGGATGATTGGGAATGAACTACCTAAACGAATGCTAACAATAAGCCTCGTCGATCGACCTCTTGGCTTCTGGTAGAATTTCATTAGCGTTCAAGATTTCACATCGTCATTTCCTTTAATTTTGGAACGAGTTTAACGAGGCGCTCGAGACTCGATCACGATTCTTGATAATTCGTCGATATTTAACATTAATTAAGACGGTTGGATATGCCTTTTAAAAGAATTATTCAGCGTCTGTGCGTGAATTAGATTCCATCGGATGGAATTATTAATGATCGAAACTGAATTATAATGCCAGCGAAGGCATTATTTATTGGAGGCTTTTATAACAGTTTAAGGAAAGAGATAATGATAATTTGATGAAATGAAATTTTCAGAATATTACGAGAAAATAACCAAGGAGAATGTAATAATTAAAAACGATCATCAGATTGGTTAATATAATAACAACATATTCTTAGAAGAAGAACGTATAATAAAGAAGAGAGTTTTACAACTTGTTGGCTCAAGATTCGTGAAAAGTTTTTGTTCGCATGAACATTTTATTCCTTACAATTATTAGTATTTACACTAGAATTTTATTATTGTTTTTCTTTTCATTTGATTCTGAACAATGCAGTGGTTCAATTGGTATATATAAAGTAGATTTTTGTGAAATTTAAATCAAATTCTTAACATGATGAAAAAAAAAAAAAAAATTGGATATGACAATCAATTGCAACTTAAATACATTTAAATATATGCATGTTTTCATATCATTTACAATTTGGTGTGGACACTTCTTTTTAAAACTTCCCGAAAGTTATCTTTTAGAACTGGCATTACACAACTTGTTATAATTATGGCAACTGGAGAATGGACTTGGATTCAAGAGTCCAGAAGTTCATACTTGAAAATAGAATTTCACGCGCGCGTAACTTTTATTAAGCTTGACTTACATATATTATATATAATAAACTTATATATATAACTTATGTATATTATATATAATAAACTTATATATATAAACTTATATATATTATATATAATAAAGTCGACCAATAACAAGTTTAATAACTTATAAAAATTATGAATTCCTCACGTTATCATCAAGAAACGGTAATATTGATATTTCGATCAAGTTTGATCGTTCAGAGAGAGGCGAAATCCAAGATTTCTTGACATAAGGCTCACGAATGGCTGACCAGAAAATATGTTGCACCATGGTTATCAGAGTGTCAAACGCTTTCCGCTTGTTCGATAACATTTTTACAAAAATGGTAGTAGCACAACATCGACGAGTCATCGCGATGGAACAGTACAGTGTCACTGTTTCTTTTTGTCCATGCGTTTCAGTTCCAGAAGATCCTCGGATGGAATGTCTGCATCGCCGTAGCCCCAAACATGGCTACCATCGCCAGATCTGTTCGCTCTGCGTCGTACCATCGCCGGCGAGACGTATTTGCGATCGTAGGCCCAGCCGATGCTCGCAAAAGCGTCGATGAACCCAGTGGTCAAATTGAACGTGTAATTCCCCAGCTCTCCAGTTTTATAATCCCACGGGAACACGTGGTGGAAGTTGTGCCAGCCCTCGCCTAGCGCCGCGATCGAAACCGCTACGTTCTCCACTGGAGAGATGTATCTGAATTCGAATTATGAATTTATGAAATTCGAGAAACTGGCAAAAAATTACAATGTATTGCGAGAGTTGCTTTCAAACTTGAAGCAATGACACAGAATTAAATTAATCTCTCTGTGAAAGAAATGCATGAGGAATTTTTGCTGGGGAAAGAGTGAGAGGGACTTTGTGCAAAGAGTTGAACCTTATTCAATAAAGGAAACAAGTGTAAAAGAATTCTCGGAACAATCAGAGATTCGTTTCACTTATTCGTTCGAATATCACGGTTTTTGATAATTTACTTTGACTTTCGCAAGACATTCGATTGGCAAAAAGGTGTCGGTGACTGTTCAGAATGATTTGGGAATTGACGGTGTGTTTTATTCATTAACAGCTGTCTACTTACTTATCATAAGGTCGTTGACCCCACATGTGCGCCACGCTATTCACGAAGAAGGCTATGTTCAGCGTGATGCAGAAACGAAAGTTGAAGTTCACCCAGAAGGATGTCCATAGCGACTCTGACCAGAAATAACACGGCACGGCGACTGGAAGCCCGATGGTCAGAAGAGCGAATAGAGGAACGTAAAATCTGCGAACGAATGTACGTGTCTCGTTCGAGTTACGGCGAACGATTTGATCATTGAAAGAGGTTACTGAAATTTAATTTCTTACGATCCTTTGTACCTTTTCTGCCACATGACGATCGGATCGGCTTCCAAATCGCTCATGTCCACCATTTTTCGCTTCGAGACAACGTCAGGATGGGGTGTCGTGAAAAGCCAACCCACGTGGGCGAAAAAGAAACCTCTCTTCGCGTTGTGCGGGTCCGCGTCGGTTTCGCTGTATTTGTGATGCACTCTGTGGTCCAGTGCCCACGCGTACACGTGTTTCTGCAGACAAGGCACAATGTTTTTCCTCAATCGTTTAGGAATCTTCGAATTTTCAATTCAATGTCAGAAAATAACAGTTACAAATCGATGTAACTGGAATTTCCTAGGATAGAAGTTTGCCTATTGCGTAATGTTAATTTAAATTAATCATTCAGGAAATTAACCTCTCAGAAATTTAATTCTTTGGGTGGAATCAATGTTATTGGAAATGAACCTTCATCGAAATGATGAGAAATTAAATTTCTTGAGTGGAGAGAAGCTAAGTTTCTGAAGCGTTAAAGATATCGAAAGATTTGAAGAGAAAATTACGAACTTGTCCAGTTATGGTGAACAGAAATATTAATAGCAATCGGAGGGGCCATTTCGCTTTGTACGCTCTGTGGGACCATAGTCTGTGCGCTCCTGCGGTTATACCGAATCCGGAAGTGTACGTAATCACGAACGCTGCAATGAAACGATTTCAGATTCTAAAGACAGACATTTTGCAATTAGAATTTTTATTGGACATCAATGAACTTTCGATTACACGCAGATGAATTATTTTCACTTTGTACTGTTTTTAATCATCGCGTGAATCACGAGACACACGATGATGCTCGCAGACCGATCGAGGCTGTTCCACATGTTTTACACGCACGATGTTTTGCTCTATGGTGTTTTTCATTGTCTCGATTACACAAGTTCCGATTGAAGACTAATTTCTCGAATATCGGTGACAGTGTATGAAATTTATGCGATCCGTAACGCAGAAAATGGTCCCGGAAATCTCTCTCGTTTTCAGATAATGTAACGAGACACGAAAATATCACTTGATGAATTAAATATTATTTAATCTCTAATTTCTAATATAGAGGAAGCGTATGCCTCTGTTGCAATTGACAATCATAGATAAAAGAACAAGAGCATTATTTAGAAGAGATTGAAGAAATTTTGAGTTTCGAATTGCGTTTTATTCCTCTGATTGTCATTACAGCGAAGGTAAAACGTTTGCTATTGTTAGAACAGTGAAACTTCGAAAATTGCAGTTCAAATCCACAGAGGATCGAAAATTATACTTGAAACAAACGACGGTTGACAATATGTATTCATTTATTCTTTTTGTCGATCGATTCGTTCGATCCGAAATAAACATCTGATTGTTAAAAGCGCTTCGTGGAATTTTTCGCATTACTCTTCAATTCTGTTTCTGATTTGTAAACGTGAGGAAACGAAACAATCGGATTAGATACAAATCTATAAAGAGATATGGACTTAAATTCTCATTATTGTTGTGACACATTAAAAGAGATAAGATGTTGTGAGCGTAGTAATATCGACTATTCATTTTGTCGTTTAATCAAAATATTTTGTTATGCAACAAAATTTATCGTTAATTATAATTTTTATATTATGCATCTCTTTCGTTTCAATGTTTGTTATTATTTACGATTTTCTAGTTTCATAATGTCATGTTTAACGTATTGCCATTTGATTGACGAAAGATTTATTTATTTTTACATTATATAAAAAAAAGTTGGAAAGATAGTATTTTAAGAGCTTTGTAGATTGCAATTAAACTGTCGACTATCTTTACAGATACGCTTTCTTTCAGATAAACCGTTTAATTAAACAATTTTTGATCATTTTAGACGTAGTAGAATTCTCCAGTACATTTCATTTGGCCAAAATTGATTATTTCTACAATTAAATATTTATCTTATTTTCACAATTAAACTGTCGACTATTTTTACAGATAAAACATAATTAAACAATTTTTAATCATTTCAGAGTAAAATTTCCCAGTATTTTTTATTTGGCCAAAATTGATTATTTTATAAAGTGCGCGAAGATTTTTATAGATGCAGAGTATGCCACTGAATTTCACCGTTTGAAAAAAATAATCCTTGTGTGGAGACTGTAAGTAACCACGAGTAAACATAACTTCAATTCAACACTTACCCCATACGGTGGTGAGAAGCTTGGCTTCCGTGAAAATGAGATACAATCCGTAAATACAGCCTACGTGAACGAAAAGTAACGCCATCAGATCTGGCCACGCGATACGGGGAACATATTCGACTTTGCTGCTACGATAATTTTCGTCAACTGCCAAGAAGTCGTCTGTCTCCGCTAATCTACGATTTTCCGAATCGTTTCCCTTGTACTTCTCTTCCAACATTTCGTACACGGTTGGTGGCACTCGATTCTTGTCCGGTGACATTTTTTCTCTCACTTTTTCTTTTTTTTTTTTCGCGAATACTTTGAAGATTATAACTGACAGGAATCGAGGACAGTCTTCAGATGCGATCCAAATCTTTCTTGCATTCTAGTTTCCTTTCAGAGCGCTCGCGTCACTCGGAGCATTGAAAAAATAATAATTTCTGTAATCAAGATAAACGAAACGATCACCTTTATTTTAATTATATTCTATAATTATCGTGTATTCGTTAATGGGAATTTAATTTGAAAAGGGAAGGCGAATTCCCTCGTGATCTTTAGAATTTTTAATAATTTTATTTCAAACGAATGATTAATTTCTTCTCTTCCTCGGCTCTAGAGAAAGTGCTGCCTTTTAAATTAAAAATGCGTCGTAATTTTTATCCCTTCGGTTAAAGTTAACTGCCAGATTGTATCAGTTCTATATTTCTTCAGAAATTTACTGAATTTGAATAGGAATTCCCCGTGGGAATTTAACAGAATTTCGAAATTTTTATTAAGCTGCGCGTACATATTATCTGGGAAACTGACATACGACGATTTTTATCAATAACTCGATCAAGGTGGCTTGGTTTTCAATCACTGTACGGTGTTATACATACTATACGGAATCAAGGACTGCGAAAGACTGACCAGTACAGCCTGAACGAATGCTAAACAATACCGCCTATCGATCGTAGATACTGTCACATGTAGTATCATTTTACGTGTTGATAAAATTATTTATTTTTAGATATATATATCGCGCTACATTCTGCAAATAGTATTTTAATTCACGTGTCAGGTTCATTTCATTCATTGACAACTTCTATATATTGTACAGTTCGTATAATTCCAATTGATATTGTTTTATGTATATTTTAGAACACTTGAATTTATAATCCGTGAAAATGCGTATCTCAGTTGCAATAACAATGCGAGTTAAAATTTATTTAACACGTTTCACTGTTAATATAATGAAGATGTATTAGATAACCCAATAACGCGAAAAATCGCGTTGAAATATAGCAAAGATGAAGGCGCTTTATTTTATACCGTTAAATTGTAAAAAGTTGGAAGACTGCAACACTGATTTTGCAAACTAAATTCGTTTATTTTCCGGCAGTTGAGTATAACACTTTCCACGTTAACGTATGTATGTATGCTCAGAATTCTTTCGTTTCAGCGAATTATCAACGTCTGACTCGAGGAGTTGCTTACATTAGATTACCGATATTCTCTGGAATAAGATTCGTGTTAGATAGTTACACATTAATGCAAAAGAATACATAAACACATATTTGTGACTTTTTATGACGATGCACGAATTGCAAATAACTTACAATTAGAGCTACAGATACTATTTGACCGAGAATTATTGGAAATTAAAATGAGCTTCTTGCTTTGGAATATATTCAAAGTAATGATTGGAAATTGAAACGGACACTTCTGTACAACGTTTAATACAATTATAAATATTTAAGCGACGACGAATAATTTACTGTTATTCGTAATTATATATCACAGTTACAATAGAGTCACAGTTTGAGGTATTTTATACAATCACTATACGATCTCTCAAAACTCAACCCATTGGAATGCATCGTTCTTTCAATAAAACGATCGGTCCATAATTCAAAGGATAAACCGAATGTTTTTAATATCCTGTACCGCTATTAAATATTGAGAGAAGGGGGAAAAGTTTATTGAAAAACGCTGTCAGACTGAAAATAGCGGAGGGTAATATATCTGGCGCCACGTTTCCCGAGTATAGGATAGATTTCATATTCGTGCCCGTATGGAAACGTGAGAGGATATTTTGCCGGGGACTTTATCGGGATTCTCGTAAGAGTTGATGATGAACACTCAATAAAGAGAATGAAAAACGAAAACAGGAACAATACGACTGGCGCCACGTGTCCTGAACAGTAGGGGGTGGAGCTGTAATATTTCTTCGCCATAGGTGGCATTGGTCGTTTTTATGCTGATCTGTCGGGGAAAATGACGAAGAAATTAATTTGGAGTATTTTTAATAGAAAAAGTAGCCTTTCCTACGAAAAGAATCTTCGTTCTTTTGTTGCAAGATAGTTTTATGCAAGAAAAAGTATTTTGTTTAGAATACTTTAGTAAAAAAAAAAAAAATGGTCTCTTTATCTTTTTCTTTAAATTTTTCTATCTCTTTATCAGCAACGGAGTGAGTAGTAATCTTATCAATTTTCAATTTCTCGATCAAAACTATTTTACATGGCAATGGAGGACAAGTTAGAATTAGTAAGCGCGCGAGAAATCATTTTTATTTAATCGTGTATGTCGATATTGATGAACGACGTGGCTTAATAACTTTTCTTTACTTTTTAAACGCAATGCGTAATTTCTATGCGACTCGCTCTCCATTTACAACGGCAGTCTTTAATCAGAATTTATTGTGGGGAATTCATAGTTCACGGCCGGGTCGTTCTTCCTTCTGACAGACTGTGATTCTTTATTGAAGATGTGAAACGATCAGCTGGTCGAACGACAATCGAGATAATTTTACTGGACAATTTTTATTTTTCCATTAGCACGTTGACTGCCACTACTAATATTTCTATTACACGTGTTACACGAATTATAAATATTAAATTATGAATATAAGATAAACATTGCGGGCAAAGATATTTCAAATGATGCATATTTTAAAATAAAAATGATCGAAATATTGTACGTAATGCGCATAAATGCTATGAGATTGAAAATATTCCACTCTATATAGATCAACGATCAACCTATTAATATTCAAATTTGGAAAAACACGAATGCAAAACAGTTCAATATTTTAGCAACCTTTGGAGTCATAATTGTCACGGTTGAAAATAAATAAATGTTGCGTCTACGCTATTATGTAACTTGTGAGTAATACGCCTTCATCCAGGACTTGTCATGATTCTTAAGGCTATTTTATATATAGCAATGAATCATTTATACAGATCACTTATACACACGCGTTTAAGGCGCGGCGGTAAAAAAACAAAATATCGATCTGAATTCTTTCGTAATACTTTGTAAATTAATTGCGAATTTGTTTCTTATGTATATGTTACTATGAAACAATATTCTTTATTACATAACTGAGAAGAAAGAATCAAGTTAAATTTAAGTAGAATTTAAATAGAATAAAATACAAGATTCGATACAAGATTTATGGTAGGAAATTTAACAGTTATTTAACAATCCATTGAAAAGTTATCGAATCCATGATCGAATCGCGCGTTTTACGCTGCCTGGTCGTTTCATTCATAATCGCGAAATGGTTTAACCGTCAATCACTATCGATTTATGTTTCTTGTTTATAGCTACTTGGACTTAAGACTTCGAACCTCAACTGTCTTAAATCACCGGGGCAAATATTAGCAAATATTTCTTCATTCATAAAACTCGTATTTTCCACTGCAATAGATCGAAAACCATAAAGATATTTCGCTCTAAAATTCTTAAAAACATCGTTGCACGAGAAATCTTCCAATTTTTCACAATTGTACACAATTTCTTCCGCTATGTATTTTGAGACTTTCGACGAAATTAACACTTTTATTGTCCGAATTATTTTTATTATCTAATATGTATTAACGTCCGAATCATGGCAGATGTGATCGAAATATGTAAAATAGAAATGCGAAGTGACGCAATTGGAAACAGAGATGAATGAAAATTGGCGGGAGTCTGTATTGGAAGTTAAAGTTTTCTTCCTCGAGGAATATTTGATTCAACAATTCGATAATAACCAAGTCGTTGAAACGTGTCGGCGAATTTCTAAGAATAATTATTCTTGCCACTCAGTCTCCAAGGTTGAATCTAGCATGAATTACGTATAACATGATGAACTAATTGACCGTCAGATAATACCAACAGCGCCACGTGTCTCTCGAAACCGAATCTAACAACGGGCGTCAGTTTGAGGGACCCTATCCTCGCCAACGACTCGAGGTCACTCAAACTAATGATAATAAAAGGACTCTCGTCAAATTGCCGAGGCAGGACGTGAATCAATTATTAAACTTGCGTGCGTGTAAACTTGCATACGTACTTACGTAAATTGACTATGGAATCAGTGATTCAAGAAGCACGTGGAAGCGTAGAGCAGTGTTGAAAACGTCGATAAGAGATGTCGAGTTAGTCACGATACACTCTCTTTTTTTCGTTATCAATTGAAAAAAGGGAAAGCTTATCGTGCTCACTTTTCCGGGTCACTTTCACGTGTTACGATTAAAGAAACCGTATTGATCACGTACATACATATATTATTTCTTATGTTTTCAGGTATTTCTGACACTTATCTGACTCTGTATTGTGTCATCGGTCGGTTATATTATTCTCCGTGATATATTTTCCTTTTTTAATATCATGTATAATTTCAATTCTCTATTTAACTGACTTTCAGATCAAGTGATTCTTCGTGGCATTCTTCGTCAGTATATCACTGTTTCAGAGAGTTTAATTGATCATCATTGTTTTAAAGATTATTATCGCTATCAACTGTTTACTCAGCCTTTCAGATCAAACGGTTCTTCGTGATATTCATCAGGTCACGTATTATGTCACTTTTTCACTAGATCCTCATTAAACACTGTCTCAGAAGTTTGCGTCAAACAATGAAATAATTCACACGTTGCTCCGTTTACATCGTATCTTTAAGGTCACTCGATCAAGTTATTTTACGCGTCAAGAATTCACAGATTTACAAGACAAGAAACGTTCGATAAGCAGTATAACAAATATCCCAAACACCTGCAACGGTACGACCGATATGATGACGATAAGTTTGTAGAATATGACACAGGTGTTCCGTTCAGGTGTGTGATTTCTGGTTCGCCGAAGTCTATCTGTATTGCGTAATAAGAACACAAAATCATTAGTACCAGGAATCTGCTGAGACCTTCATATCGAGTTAGTTAGAAAGTGTGACGAAAATCTTTTCGATGAATTTTCGATGTCGATCGCGTGAGCATTCAAACACTAAGTTTAATATGTATTTAATAATTCAGATACTTGTGAAAGTGGATTGCAGGGTGACATTTGTCACTTCGTGTGATTTCTAGACGATTACAAATCTCCGTTCTGCGATCCTTGCGGAATAAACACTGTTCTGGTCGCAAACTCACGCGCTTCGCTAGACTTCACAAACCCGCTAGTTTTATGTGCGTACTCGCGCTGTCACGAGATATACCGACTAGACACGGACTGGCACGAAGCAGGGAAATATTTCATTAGATCTAGCTCCTTGCACGATAATTTAGTAGCTGATAATTGCGCTACAAAATTTTTGTGCAAATTTATAGTACAACGATAGTAATTATATGTCGGTAATTAGCCCTTTTGCTCAATATGTAATTTCGCTGTCACCGTGCTCGTCCATCACTCGCAAAGTGCAAAACTTGCCGAGAAAAACTTCAAAATCGACGTTTTCCTGAAAAACAACTTAAAAAAAAAAAAAAAAAATGGTCGTGTTTCTTTTCTCAAATGATATTTCTAAAAGTCTGGATATTCGTAGTCAATCGCATTTTCTGTAGCGAGTTGGATAAAGAGCAAAAAAATATTTTGAATTTCGAAGGCCAGTAGACACTTAAATTGATATTTAAATTTCTATATAATGTGTGTGTATGTGTGTATTGTGTTCATGCGTAATGACACATATGTAAGATGTATGTAATATCTCCTTCGAAATAATTGTAGCCTGCTGACATTCTATTGTACGATATACTAATTTCAGACGAATAGTGATGTTGATATGCGTATAAAACGATGCTCGTCTTTTAAAATGTACTTTGAAATATTGTACTAGAATTTTTTTACATGTGAAGTATGATATACATGTACGATATTTTGCATGCTGTGTATTATCATCAACGATATTTATTTCGTAAAATATACAGGGTGTTTCGTAACTTGTGGGAGTTGATTGTAAAAATAATGAAAAAAAAAAACCATATAAATATATGTCCTATCTGTCTTCGTTTATGAAATATGATGAATTTTATAAACAGAGCAAACTCTCTGTCCGGTCTCTCTTTCCATAGAACGGAAGAAATCGCACTGTTTACAAATAATACTTACTTGATATCTTTCATGTGACTATTTGAAGATTTAGCAAATTTTGCAATACCCGCAATCAGTTCTTACTAATAATCGTAATACATGTCGTATAAGATAGAAGATGTTTGAAGTGATAATGGAGCGTTATTCTAATTTAAAAATGACAGATATGCATCTGTTGTATGGGCTTGCTATGTGTAATGCAAGTAAAGCAAGACGTTTGTACTCGGAATATTTTCCCAATCGGCGTAACAAGACTGTTACCAAACAAGAAAACATTTCAAAGAATCCACGAACGCATTTTAGCCGAGTGGCTAGGCAACTTTTTAAATCAACACTCTGCAAATAAATGAACTGGTCGTGGAGGTCCTATTGCATGACCTGCTCGTTCTCCGGATTTGAATCCATTAGATTTTCATTTGTGGGAACATTTAAAATCTATTGTACACGCAACACTGATTGAAAATGCTGAAATACTACGAAACAGAATAGAGCAAGGCTTCCGACAAATTCGAGTAATACCAGGAACGATAGAGAGAGTAATCAGATGAATGACAAGACGCGTGCAGGCTTGTCTTCAAATGCAAGGTGGTCATTTCGAGCATCTTTTGTAAAAGTAATTAAAACAGAAGAATCATTATATCTCATAAACGAAGACAGATAGGACATATATTTATATGACTTTTTTTCATTATTTTTAGGTGTACAATCAGCTCCCGAAGTGAGTCCCAAAAGTTACGAAACACCCTGTATAATACGAGTCGAGAAATATTTTTCGTACAAAAATATATTTGAAAGTCTAGAATTAATTATTTCTTCTACAGTGATTTCATCTGCAAATGAGAGGATTGTTCTTTCTTCTTCTCTTTAATTTCCCTCATTATATCGAACATTTGATAAAATTTATTTGAGCTGATAGGTTCTATCGAACGTTTGATAAAATTTGTTTATTATCTTACATCGAACTTTTGACAATCGAACTTTTGACTTCATTTGAGCTGAAAGCCATCATAATACCGTAAAACGTGGATGGAACTCTTCTATATAATTCTGATATGTAGAATAATTTCGCCTAGTTACTAGCTTCACATTTCGATATTGAAAATTTAATGACACTGTAATGGATTTCAAAAATCATGTTTCTGGCGCATTCGCTACTTGATCAACTTTGATTTTAGTTGTAGTTCTTAAATTCACCGTTAGAGTGCGCTAAAACAACCACTAACTTTTTTTAGTATTTCAGTCAGTATTTCAGAGCATGGGGCTTGAAATCCCACCAGATGCTTGGCCTATTCGCGTACCTGAATAAGAGGCATATTCTTTTTTTTTTGTTTGTTTGCTTGCAGTTGATTTAATATAAAAAAAATTCTGCTTATCCTAGGTAGGCTTATTACCGACGTGGTCGAACCAACGATTAGTTCTCTACATTACCGTCAATGACGCCAATGGCGCCACGCGTTAATAGTGTTCTCCTGAGAACCGGGTACGCAGTGTCTTTCCAATTCGCTAAATATTTCTGGCAGATTTCCTTTTTCTCCTGCTTCTTTCTTTTACGTCAGTGACGCGCATGCACCGCCGAGGTTGCTACCCCCACGCTGAGAACATCCGGTTTCAAGGTGGCAGAGGGAGAGCAAAGGAGCAGATTGGGAGGTGGAAAACCGCAGTCGAGCTAGGGGGTGGTTCGATGGCCGCAACCCCCGATGGAAGAGCGCAGTCCGTCTCTTTTCCATATTAATTCAAAGCTGTTGGCTGGCCATTTCACCGAGTGACCCATGAAGGTGGTTCTACTTTTCTCATCGAGCATTTAGTGATTTTCTTTTTAATCCGATTGGGGGGGGGGGGGAGGTGCGCATTAGGGCTGCAGATTCGCTCGCAGATGATGTTGCTCTTAGGTTATGGCAGGTCGTTTCGAAGTGATTGCTCATTTATGTTTGGGTTTTAAGCGGGGAAAGTTAGAGGGGTCGCCACGATTAATCGTTGGAAAAAAAAAAAACGTTGGAAAGAAACGAATGGGACAGAGCGTCGAAGTGAATTAGATTAGTGATTTAAGGGTTAATCATCTGGCGGATAGTGAAGTTTGTGTTGTGCGAGTTGTCAGATGATATTCGTTCAAAATGTATTTGCCATTCGAACTGAAGTCTGGCGGATATTGTGGAGAGTTTGTCAATGAGAATTTAAATTCAACTAGTTCGGCAATCGCGGGATATCTTTTCTGTTTTTAATGGTGACAAAGGTAACATTATTCATGGATATCTTTAACAAATATTAAATTGCCGTTAATCAGTGAAACGAGATGCACGTATTCATAAAAAGTAATTTTTTGTCTTCACCCGCGAAGGTCCAATTTGTTTTCTCCTTTCTCTCTGTCTCTGTCTCTCACATGCACATTTCACATCTCACTTGGACGAATTAGTAGGATTTAATCCCTTGCATTGTCTTTATCAGTTAAGTGAGTAATGACAGTTCACTATGTGCTTTGTAAGATATAAAATATTAGAGTTTGTTATTACACAAATATTGATAACTATATATAACGCGATACGGAAATAATCGTATAGTTGTATAATTGTATAATTGCGTGCCATATTATCAATATTTGTATAATGATCTTTGCGTGATAATAAATCTCATTAGTTTATATCTATTTTACAGCTTACAGTTTATATTTATTTTGGTACAAAATTATATCATTGAAATACTGATAATATTTTATTATTTTATTATTATACGAAATACGACGACTGTTATTAACGATTAAACAATTTAAGTTAAAATTAGAATTTTTAAAAAATTTGTTAAATTTACTGTTGTTGCCAGGTGTTTGATTTAATGTACATACGTCATGCTTTTAATCTGCGTCTTTTAAAATTTAATATTGATGTTACCACCGCTTTATCGAGGGAAAGTTATTTAAATGAGGAAAAGTCTTCAACACTTCGAAGATGTTCGTCCACTTTCCTATACAGAAAGTTTGAAAATTTCGCCTTTATCTTGTTACGCGTTGTCTGCATATGCAAACAAGCGAGTCTATTAATGGTTAGACACTCACGATTCTGTCAGTAGAATATTTGAAATTTCTGTAGTAGTTCGAGTTTTTGTTTCTAACTAGCTACTTATTTTAATATACACTGTTAACTTTTATTTAGAAACTCGCTTATAAATCGTTGTGACGAGTCATGTACATATATGTCAGTTAGAAATTGTATAATTTATGAATATTCTTTACTGTTAATTTTATAATGATGCAATTATGTACAATTATGAGTATAATTATATATATATATATATATATATATATATATATATATAGTTATGCAACTGTTTTAAAAGTTTTAACACTTTTAAATTTAAATTTTTATACAATACATTTCACTTTTCTTCAAAATTCACATACATTCATTTCATAAAAACATTTATAGAATGGTAAAAGAAATTAATAGAATATTTTATTAAAAATTTAGTTGAGCTAAAAGAAGCTAAATTTAGGTGTTTCATCTCACTATAATAGTGGAGAGATTAAATACAAATTTAATCAATCAGTCACTTCGATGTTCGCACAAAAAACATTCTTCTATTCAGTCTGCGAGATTGTCAAATTTTTGTTATTTTCAGCGAAAAATGTTCGACGATCCTGCACTTTGCTTCCTTAACTTCCATTAATAGAAAATTTCGGAGTACATCTACAGTACTGTCCGTGATATTCGCAGAATTCACAAACGTAAACAACATTGTTACATTTGCCCTAATTCTCCAAACAATTACATGTAGTTCAACGCCACTCTCATTAGCAATAATTAAATATTTGCTCTTACAAGCAAACAATTAAATATTTACTCTTGTTACACGAAACTTCTCTCAGTGTACTTTTCACACTTTTGACATAAGGATCGCCTCGTGTAATAAAAGATGAAAAAGTAAAAGCTGGCTGCGTGCAGCGACCCCATTGTCAACGAGAAGCGTCCTTATCAGTAGCACAATCGACACGGTGACGTTCAGAACCTCTGACACGTGAATCACGCCTATCAGAGCTATGCGCCCACTTTCTAAAAGCAGGCGTTACACGCGGCTCACCATTTTTATTTTCAACTCGAACCAGCCGCGCGCTCTTCACCGCGGGTAACAGCACCGGCAGCGTACAAGA